AAGAACAAACAGCAGTTTTTATTACAGGGTAAAGCCAATCGTATCAGTCGTTGTACACATACGCATACTTACATAGATATATTTATGTGAGTATGTACGAGTGTGTGGCTGCGCTGTCAGCGCCAGCGATGAGATGGCGTGACGCGATAATGAATTGAAAACTGATAGCAACAGAGGCCAGCGCTAACGTCAGCGCTAACTTCAATAATGTTTAAGCGAACATAAGTGACAAATTTAATTGGCGACGCTGTTGGCGCACGAGACGCGAAGCAATCAACGCGCAGCAGCGTCGCAAAGGCTTGTGGGAACGCGTCATCGCGTGTATAGAAATGTATGTATGTTTGTAAGCACCGAAGATCGCTGTACAAAATATGAACTTGAAGATCATAATTGTGTTTTTATATGCATTTCTGCTTAGCATTGCAAAAGCTGAGGTGTTTTGAGTTGTATTTCAATTTATTTATATTTATATGCGCGTATGTGGTTGTAGATATTTTTATTACGTTGTTTTATAGGATGTTCCGTAAGTAATTACTATACGTATGATAAACTTAATTGTCCTCAATTGTTTTTTAAATTACTTGTGGAACGCGTAACAAATGCTAAGCGTAGTAATAAGTACAGATACGAGTATTCAATTGTTGTATTTGTAGTGGCCTTATTGCAGTCTTAGAACGCGAAATAGTTTTAAGAATTTATATTATTTGCTTTTCCTGTACACAGACAGGCACACACACGCCCGCTTATAGTTCACAGCATTATTCAAATGGAGCACACGGTGCGTATGAGTGACTTTTTCACTTAATCATTGCTTTTGGTCGTGCTGGAATAAATGTAAATACATAATTATTTACTTTAGTATTATTTCAAGTGACTTTAAGCACGAACATCACGTTTGATAGTAGCGTTTATTATGGCAAATAAAATAAAATTCCAAGAATTAAATGGTAATGTTTGCAAGTTATTCTTTTGAATAAAACTATGCAACAAACTATATTATGCAGTAAATAATAACGGGAACTGCTCCACCTACCAATAATTAAATAAATAGTATCAAGTTGCAATAAAAACAATTATATATAATAAAAAATAAGAGTGTGTTAACGGTACTTTTCCAAAACTAGTTTTTTATATATGAATGCAATGAGAATAATAAATTTTAAATAAATGGAGCTCAACTTAATGAGAGGAATATAAAGCCATCGTAAATAAGTTAATGCGGAGCAGGTTCTAATGCCGGAAGGTTATGTTAGTAAGCGCATAAGAGTATCAATTAGTAATTTTGTATTAGAAAATTATTATTGAGCTGATAAAAATGTATTTGCAAGACATATTAGCTTATTCATACAGAATTAGAATTAAATTGAATTAGTCATTCTCAATTTACAAATACAAATCTACATATACAAATCTAGTAATATATAATATTAAAATTCGAATTTTTTTCGTATTTCGCCAATAAATGTCGTCGAGATTAATTTAACTAAAAAATTCGGAGAATTTGAAAAAAAGTTCAAAACTTCAAAAATGAGTGAAAATTATAAAGAAATTCCCTATATTTTGACATTTCTGTATAAAAAAGGAAAGAATGCCACGCAAGCACCCATGAAATTGGTGAAGTTTGAGGAGACGATACTGCATCAGTTCGTATAGCACAACAATGGTTAAATGTTCTGGAAATTTCGCAATTTTAGAAGCGTTTTTCTCGCAACGTTACAAACGATATATACCTTATATATATATTTCCCTGATAATGATCGAAAAATATAATTTTTTATCATGTTTAGATTTTTTAAGCCTCTTTAAAGTGTGAATAAAAGTTGAATACATTTTTATACTCTGAACAGGGTATCTTAAGTTTGTCACGAAGTTTGTAACACCCAGAAGGAAGGGTCGGGGACCCTATATAAAGTATATATATAAATGATCAGTATGTTGAGCTGAGTCGATTTTGCCATGTCCGTCTGTCTGTCCGTCTGTCTCTCTGTATACATATATACGAACTAGTCAATAAGTTTTTAAGATATCGTTTTGAAATTTTGCAAACGTCATTTTCTCTTCAAGAAGCTGCTCAATCAAGTTCTTGTATGGAAAGCTTTCACATTTGACAATGTATTTTCACGAAATTTAGTACAGATTATTTTCTAAGGCAACAATTTAATCTCCGAAGAAATTGTTCACATCGCTACCATCCAAACTGAACACATAGTTACTAACAGAAATCCACCTGTGAAGGGTATTTAGCTTTTGTGCAGCGGAAGTTAACGTTTTTTCTCGTTTTTATTATTATTAAATCTTTACAGACCCCGACAATCAACCAATTACTTGTGACGAACCCATAAAATGTGAGCTACTTTGTCTTAGTTGACAGTTTTTTGAGTTGGAAAAATAATAGAGAATAATAATAATAATTCGTAAATTTGTTTAAAAATAACAATTTCTCAATCATGAGTATAAGCTTGAGAAATTACATATATTTTATTTTTTATATATTATATATTATTTGCATAAATTATTTTGTATAAATTATCAATATATTTTAATTTTAACTACATTTTAGTTCAAGTTTGCATTTTTATGTAACCGACGACCAACTTTATTCATGTCTCATAAATTAGTAATTTTGTTTTTGTAAACATTGCTGTTAAGTTTTCGCTAAAGCGCTGCGAGTAATTGCAGTTCTAAACGCCAGATATATTGTATAAATATGAAGGTAGACACGAGAATATATAAAATAAAATATTTGAAGAAAAATTATACCGGATGACATATGCATGCATTTATGAAAAAGAGGTATCTGGTAATTTGATCGAGAATATCAATTTTAAAGTAATAAAATAAATACAGCGAAGGAAAGTGAATGATTTCTATAAATATTTAAAATAAAAATATGGATTTACTTTTGTGTTGTTATATGTATATATGTACATACATATATCATTTCCAATTAGACTTATGTACAAGGTGTGTTCCAAAGTAAACAGGACTTTTTGAATCTAGCGCCCCCTGGTGGCGCCATCTATATGTCGACTGGTGCGCTATAATCTGCTATCTTTATCGATTGTACTGTGAGAATTTCATGACATTTCATTGATTGGAAGTGAAGTTATTGCGTTTTAGTATCAGTATGTTTGTGTTATCGGTGCGAAAATGAGCTTCGAACAAAGAGGCAACATTAWATTTTGTTTTAAAATTGGTAAAACTTTTCCCGAAACGTTTCAATTGATGAAACAAGTTGACGACTATGATTGCCTATCCCGTAGAGTGCACGAGTGGTTTCAACGTTTTCAAAGCGGTCGTGATTCCAAAATGACGGCCAAGATATGGGCCGATCAATATCCGTGATTACCGAAACTTCCCTCTGTGCGTGAATTCATCAAAAATCAGCCGAAATCATCATTGAAATTCATGGAAATGGAATTGAACATCTCCAAAACATCAATGTATCGCATTTGTTGCGCCGTATTCGAATTGTATGGCCCGAATATCGCGAAGATTTGTTGCACGATAATGCGCTGTCTGATCGGTAGACGCCTGTGGCCGATTATTTGCCCGAAACACCAGAGAGGAGACTATTTTGAATAAAATAAATTGACGCCTGAAATTGTAGCTCGTGGCCGCGGCGACATTTGGCTTCAACAAGACGGCGACACTTTCCACATATCGCACCAATCAATGGATTTATTCGGAGAAAACTTTGGTGAGCTGATAATTTCACGTTTTGGAACGTGTGATATCACACCGTTAGACTTTTTTCTATGGGGATATGTAAAGTCTAAAATCTATGCGGACAATGCAGCATCGATTCAAGCCTTGGAGCCAAACATCACGCGTGTCGTTCTCCAGTTATCAGTCGAATGCTAGAACGGGTCATTAAAAATTGGACTAAACGGATGGACCATCTGAGACGTAACTTCAAAAAATAAATGACAAAGAATGTTCTTTCGAATGATAAAAACATTCCGAATTTTTATTTTTTTATTTATAAAAGCTTATACAATGTTAGTAACATATGTATGTACAACCTAAAACATGCAGCGCTAGCTTCAGAGGCTATCAGCTGATACATTCCGAATTAAATTTGTAGTTTCTTTGTTTTTTTTTTTTAAAAGCAGCAATTCTCGAAATGGATCACATTATATACTTAGCAGTCAAATATTATCAGAAGAGTATCAAATTATAGATCAGCACCCTTAAAGCTTTGGAAATCAGCGGTTAAGCAAACAAAAACTCATTATATTTACATTTATTTTAATAAATATTTTACAAATTATCTTAAAGTTTTTAGATTTAGAAAAGTATTGTAAACTCTTAAACCATAAGATATTCTCGAAAGATTAATCTCATAATTATTTATAATTATTAATTTTTTTCGTTAAATTGCTGTTTTGAAAAGCTCTGTGGTTCATACATTAAAGAGCTTACAAAATCGTTAAATTTATTTTAGTTACAAAATAATTTAGAAAATCTTTATATATGTATTTATATTATTTAACTATATTTATTTGTATAATATTAGACTAGTAAAATAATAAAAACAAATTATGAAAACAAAACTGTTTCATTGAAAATTTGTAAAAATTTAAGCAACCTGCGAGATAAGTAATAAACTATAAAATCAGTAAATCCGAATTTCTAATTCAACAAAACTTATAACTTGCAAATCATAAGGTGTTCCTTTGTGAGTGTGACGCTTCAACCCTGTCTGAATGAATTTCTTTGCGCTGTTAATCATCATTTCATTGTAGAAATTCGCACACCCACTTCAAATTACACATTTGCTTCTCTCGCTAATCTTAAATGCGGATAAAATTTATACTTCATACATATGCAAACACAAAAATAAAACAAACATGTGTCTGCGCTGCCGAAGTTTTCAAAAGTTCAGCTACACTGTAACGCCACAGCGTCAATGACTGAGACGACGAAGCGCACAGCAGCATCGGCAGCGCCATAAACAGGAAATTTTGTATTTAATATACGCGTGCAGAGAACTGAAGCTCCTAGTTGTAAACGGACAATCGCGAGGCACGCCAACGATCCACCAAGTGGTAGCTCTGGAGTAGCCGAAAAGCGAAATAAACAAATAACACACCATTCACCGATTTGCAACCGACACCAATTGTTATAAGTGCGCTGCAACAATTCAACGATTGCAACCAAAAATAAAATACAAGAAACACATTATGCACTTGTGCTCAGTTTGCTACGCTCGCTGAGTTTTATGGTAAAAGAGCGTACCAAAATAGTGTGATAAAACGAATGAAATCGGCGTGAATAAAATCGTCGTGAATAAAGAAAACATTTCTCCACCATTCGCTGCTGCCGGTAGTGTCAACGGTATTCGTTGTTATTGCTGCTACACGAGTGTCAAACAGAAGTGACGAGTTCGAATACTCATTTTACTTAGTCAACGATTTTTTTCAAATTAAGTGGTGTATATTAGTCACAGCCGTCTGATGCAGCGCTCAGTCAATTTCGCAAAGTCCAACGGGTAACAACAGAGTGTATAGTAACAACTGCTCATTTGCCAAACTGTGGCCACCGCTGTCTTCGCTTTCGCTTAAATGAACAGGCAACGCGTCGCTGAAACGTAGGAAAAAGAAAATCACATAAAAACACTGCCAGTGTTAGCAAGTAGCGGATGTACAATATAAAAAATTTAAACATTTTCACTAAATCACTCTATACATAGTAGTAATATAAATACGACAGCCAGTCATTACAAATACAAGGACATTATACAATTTTTGAAGTGCGCAGTGTTATTTGCGAAAACTATTTAATTTCAAAAATTAGAAAAAAAATTATATTAACAATATTGTAAAGCGCCAGCATTTTTGCGCATTAAACGTGCCGTTGTGAATATAGTCACTGCCAAAACAAATATAATAAATTTAAGAAAAACTTATTTTACTTGCAAAACCAAACCCAAAGTCAAATATAAACACGTTAAAACTTAAGCCAACAAGCTATTAAAAAATTATAACGGCGTACTTATGTGATAACATTTTTTAGGATTACAAAAGTATACAGTGCTTTTTATTGAAGCTGCTAATTAATATACCCCGTGGAGCCTGTCAACCTCGCGCATGCAGACATTGCAAATAATTATAAATTATATATCATTTTAAATCCAGTTGAGTGAAACAGTTAAATAAAAGCGCTTTAAGGTCATTACTTACAACAGTCCAGTTATATAAAAGTGATAAGCAAGGCAGCGTACTCACCAAAAATTCGTACAATATGGAGATGCGTTCGAAATTGGGCAGCTTCGAGCTGAAAGACTGCAGTGCCGAAAGCGCCGCTGAGCGTTGTAAGTAATCATTTGTTGTAAATATTTTTTAATCACTTTCATACCTTCACAGCCATATCGAAATTGTGTCAAACCGCATTCTCGCTTATTCGTTGTTTTTACTATACATAATTGCGAAGCATACGTGTGTATGTATGTAAATATATTGCATACATACCTACGTATGTCTGTCTGTATAAATAAATGACATTGAATAAATGTCTGTACTAGTATTAACACGAATACATTGTTTTTTAGTCAAGCGACACGGAAGTGTTACGGCAAGCATTAAGTTCTAAGTTCTTTACTTTCCTTCGTACTTATGTACATAAAGCAATAAGTTAAAAAAAAATTAATTAGTAAAAATTTACAATTAAAAAATAGAGAGAAAAAAATAGTTGAAAAAATAGAAAAAACTTAAGATAAGTTATGGTGATCAGCTATTAAATTTTATGCATAAAATATCATAATTAATTGGTTATATCCACTTGTGAAATTAAAATTTTGTTTGGCTATATCTTGATTATATTATATATTTGTAAGTAAGTTTTTGCAAGAGTTTTTTAACTTGGTGTAATTGGTATTTTTCTCAAAAACTAGTTTCAGTGGAGAAAAATTCTCCAAAACTGCTGGACCGATCGACTTGAAATTTTCAATCGACCTAAGCTATATTTTTCAGTTAAGGGTTTACATGCGTTTCTTCAGGTAGCAAAGCAGAATTTTTTCAACAATTTTTCTCTCATACCAAAAATTAAATATTTTATTAGAATTGTATATTGTTACAAACATACACTAATAACAAAGAAATTCTGAAATTTTTGGAAAAAAATATCTTAAACTCGGCCATTGCGACGTCATTTCCGGTGACCCCACGAAAAAAAAGAGGCGTCCACGTTGGCAGGATTACTCCTTACAGGATCACCTAAACTGAAAAAAATATATGTGTTTTAGTTAAAACCTTAACCTAGAACTTGGACGAAGGAAAAAACCGAAAATTGGATTTAATCGTTAAAAAAAATCCTTCATCCTAGTCTTTAAGAATTGTATATCACAGACCGCTATAAAATTTCATGAAGATCGGCTTAATAGTTCTCGAGATATCTTGCCAACCGACTTCAAAAACACAGTTTCGAGAAAAACGCGTTTGAAGACGACGCACTTAGCCTAGCTAGCCTCGAGCGCACAAGTTCTCAAGGCTGTATCCCCGAAACTATTACTCGGATCAACTTGAAAGAAGAGTATTCTAAAGGTGTTGCAGAATTTAATAAGACAATAAAAATAATTCGATGTTTTTAAACCCGTAAACACATGTAACCCCTTAATGGTTAGAGAGTAAAGTTTTTAATTTTAAATCCTGTTCGAAGTGTAAATATTTTCATGAAAAAAACTACTATTTTGCGAAGTCGTTATTTTTTCAATAATCAAATTTTTACTAAGTAATCAATATCTTAATTCATCCATAACATAAGGATTGCACCGCGACCTTAAATCTATTGTGCCCTGAATTCAGTAATACAACGAAAGCCGTCTTTGCTATACGATCAAATGAAATATACTATTGAAGAGAATTAGAACAAATTACATAATATTGCATTAATACCCCAGCAAAGACTTCAATTGTCATATACTTTTATAAGATTAGATAATTTTTTTTATAATAACTTACGATATTCTTTTTACTTAAATTCGTTGTTTGATTTCTTACAAAGTCTTATTTGATGATGATGATAAAAAATATAAATCAGTACAATTTTGCTAAAAGCAGCTGGAAATTCCAAGCAAAACGTGGCTCTTGTAGCAAGTACCTGGGAATTAGATGCTAAAACTGAGAGTAAAATAAACACTTTTAACTTATCCCTGTGCATTTATAGGCAAGTGCCTGCTTACAGCCCACTTCAATGTGGGAATTTTGAATAAATATATCACGTTTTGCATTGTAAACAAGCGCAAGTATTTAAGTGCTTAAAGTTACGAAATAGCTGGTCACCTTATTCATAATTTATATTCTACAACAAACACAAATAATTTAAGTTTATGGCAGAACACAGTATAGCGCTGAATTAGTAAAATAATTTTGAACGTAAGTAAACGATAATTTCCTAATAAAAAATATTTACAACTAAGCACTAATAATCCGAAACATATGCGAAATAAAAGATAAATGAAAGAAAATTCATTACAAAACTGAAACCAATCGACGATTGTTTTTCTTAAACCTTATGGAAATAAGATATGAAGCGCATGCAATTCAATAACGCTGAGCGCATGAATCAGCGTATTTGAGTTTAACGCGTCTGAGTTACAGGTCGAGTGTTTTGGGTAAGCGCGCTGGCAATAAAACGCCAGACAGCGGCATCTTGTATTATCGCTGTGCGCAATCATCAGCATTTATATTTTTGTCGCGTGAATTAGGTTTTTTTTTTTTGCTAAGGCGACTGTTTTGTTTATAAAAGTGTCAGTACTCGGCGAATTCGTATTAATTGCTTTACAACAGAAATTAATATTTATATGTATGTGCATATAATCTATTGATTACTTGATTTATATGCACGAAACCAATTAAAAGTGTAAAGCAACGACTGCTATTAAGAATACAATGATTTCACGGGGAATTACTAAAGTCGTTACCACCGGAAAGCACATACACACAGGCAAATATATAACAGTTAATTGTCACAAATAAAATCGCTTAAAGCTATAAAATGCTTATATAGCAGCATTGAATACAAGTTGCTCTGTAATTATTTGTTGTAAAATCATGAAATTGTTCTATTAAAGGAATTTATTTGTATGCCGATTGAATTTGAAAAATGCGGAACACCCTGCAATAGCCATGACGGCATACTTGCATAACAATGGTTAATGATTTTGCGCTTATATTTTACTATGATTTATACATATGTATATACCGATTTGGTTTGTATGCATTAACTGTTTACTTAGCAGTGTCAGACATTGTCCCAGGTCAAGGCAGTCTGGCAGCAACCCCCATTTTGTTTTAGCAAATGTGTGTGTATGTGGATTGACGAATTTCCTTATTTACTCGCACACGCTTTGCGAACTCGCCTACAAATGTTCATACATATATAGTTATTATGAGCTCACATGTTTGTTTGTATGGGCGTGTGCAAGCTCAAGACAGCGCAGTCAATGCTCTCAGCATTTCAGAGTGCATATATGTATAAGTTTGTATGTATGCACTTTTTCTGTGCTGTTTTTCAATGAATTTTTATTCAGCACACAAATTTTTACGCTTATCTATTATGCATTAAAGTGATTATAAACACTAATTGCTTGTATTTATTGCATTTTGGTTTGTATTTGCGTGTAAATATTGTGTCGAAGCGGCCCAAGCAGGTTTGTACGAGTTTTAGGCGGAAATATTGTCTCTTCAAGTACTTAAAATGTTCATTTTCTGGAAACACATAAATTACGAAACTGTGCACATAACATTACTGTACTTTGGAATATGATTTACGGATAGACTAAGTAAACGCACACACATAAATATGCATAGATTATGCTAGTAGGGGGTGAAAATGATGTTTGCAAAAACAAATACTCATTTTTATACTCTCGCAACAAAGTTGCTAAGGAGAGTATTATAGTTTTGTTCACATAACGGTTGTTTGTAAGTCCTAATACTAAAAGAGTCAGATATAGGGTTATATATACCAAAGTGATTAGGGTGA